TCCCCCCGCACGTGCTGGTCAATTGGGCAGTGCAGATAGCCCGCGGTATGCTCTACCTGCACGAAGAGGCTGTGGTGCCTATTCTGCATCGCGACCTCAAGTCCAGTAACAGTAAGTGAGGTTAGCCCCAAGGGAGGGGGTGCCAGGATCAAAGAAGGGTGTCTGCCCAGGACTCTGAGAGCGGGGAGACGGGCACTGATTAACTTGCTTTAGGTCGGTTCCTGCTCACCCCGACATTATCACCCTTGGGCACCCTTTTTAAAAGACAGGGACAAGCTTGCTTGTAGATAAATTTTTGTTCCTCTCTAGACATGCAGGAAGCCACAGGGAGTGTTTATATGTCTGTGTAGGTCTCCCAACTCGTTTGTATAGTAGTTTGCCAGCCCTTACCTTAAGCCTGCTGGCCTTCATCAATCCCCTCCCCATTTCCTTCCACTTTACAAGTTTCTAATTCCCTTTTCCTGGTACACTCTGCAAGCGCAAGACTTCATGCATTCCAAGCAGGCACTCTGCCGGGGTGCTGTGCCCCCAAATCATCTCTCTATGAACATGGCTTCTTGACCTTGGGCTTTCCCAAAACTTTACCATCTAGATGTCTCTGTATATGAAACATGACCTTATTGTTGTTTGGAGGAATCTTTTCTGCAAATCAAAAGTGCTCATTTGGGTTGAGAGCAAGTGCATGGATCCTGTACGGCACTGGAAACCTGAAATATCTCGTTGGTTTCAGTTATTTTATCTATAAGTCAGATTTCCCAGATGTTAGCAGAGAGCTGACATGTCATCGAAACACAAATCCTATTAAGATCTGCTGTGTAAGCGAGCTAGAGAGGGTTGCTGGTTAAAGTTGCTTTTTCCCTAAAGAAGGACCCCCCCCCCCCAGTGAAATGCAATCTTTTGCAAGACTAAAGGATTCAGCCAGAGCTGGTGCTGACCAGTCAGTGTTGCATGCCCATCATGAAACCTGCTAGGACAGGAGCTAGCTGGAAGGACACTGGTGTCTTCTGCATAGAGACAGTAGCCAGGGGAATGAATGGCACTTTTATAAGCTGGCACGGATTTCCTTTTGCTATCAAATCCTTCAGTACAGACATGTACTTGAAAGTTACAAACATATTCTCTCCATTATGAAAATTATGAATAAATTGAATGTTGTAGCTGTGCACAAGCATTGGATGGCCCCAGTCCATTCTCCCAGCCTGTCTAATATAGGTCTCAGCTGCCCCAGTGATGAGTGGCAAGTTTAAGGAAGCAGGTCATGAAGAAGTGACGGTGGTCACTGCGTGTCTCAGCTGACCATGTGAAGGTCCCTGGAGTGATTTGCTTTAAGAACTGTGTCATACTAACATGCAATATTTTTCTTTTGTGTGATATGTTTATGTATGTCCTGGTGCACATGTGTGAGGGAGTGCATGTGTGTGCTCCTGCATGTGAAGGCCTGAAGTAAACCTCAAGTGTCATTCCTTAGGTGCCTTACAGCGTTTTATTGAGACAGAGTCTCTCACATAACCAGGATTCATCACATTTGGCTACGTTGGCTGACCCATTGAGCCCCATGGGTTCTCCTATCTGGGCCTCCCCACTGCTGAGATCCTAAGGGTGTGCTGCCAGACTGGGCTTTTTCTGTGTGTTCTGAAGATGGAACTCAGGTCCTGTCCTTGCACCACAGCATATAGCCTGCTGCCACAGAACAAGGTAAGACTCCACTTGTCCTGAAAGCCTGACCCTGGAGGGCCTCTGCAGAACAATGACAGTACATCATACCATCCCCTCCTCTGCAGGAGCTTCATGATAACACAGAGCATGGCATTCTGCAAGTTAGTTCTGCCCAAGTTAATGCTCAAGATACATCAGTCCTTACACCACAGGTCTGAGGCCTGCAGATACTGCTTTTTGCATTGTACCCAATCTGGTTTGGTGGGTGCCACTCTTCACTTTGTTTGTGTGTGCAGTTGCAAGCACACACACATGTGGAGACCAGAGAACAACCTCAGAACTTTTTTGTTCTTTCAGTACCTTTGGCTTTTTGACAAAGACAGGATCTCTGATCTAGAAACTTACTTATATTAGGCTAGGCTGACTGCTAGTGAACCTTGAGATTCCACCTGTTACTTTCCCTGTGCTGGGATTACAAGCAGGCACCAGCATTCCCAGCTTCTTACATATGGGTTCTAGGACTCCCAGGCCCATGTGATTGCAAACAAGCGCTTTACTGTCTGAGCTATCTCACTAGTACTGGCTCAGTGCATCTTGAGGGCCACACCACATATTCACAAACAGTGCATGTCTGTTAGGTATGTGTAAAGCACTGGAGGACATGGGAATCCTTGCTTACACACTTTCACATAAAAGGTGAACTTGTAAAGAACTCCTAATACTTGGAAGTCTTTTTAAAAATAGGAAGTTATGTGGTTTCAATTCACAGCAGTCAATATAAGACCGTTGCATGTCTGGGAGACACTTTGTACTTGGGAGGCAGTTCCATCCTAATTTAGCTTTGGAAAGTTATTTGCCTTCAGAACAAATAGACAAGCATCCTAGGGTATTTTTAATTTCTTTAAAGACAGACAAGACTTCCTCTATTTTAAAATGTCACAATTGTAAGCAGCAGATTACTCTCAGTTCCTAGAGTGCTTTCTTAACATGGGGCTCTATCTCCAGCACCCCAGAAACTGGTCATGGTGGCAAATCCTTGTAATTCCTGCACTCTGAAGGTAGAGACTGGAGGATCAGAAGTTCAATGTTATCCTAAGATATATGCTGGGTTTGAAACCAGCTTGGACTATATGAGACCTTGTCTCAAAACACTAAAAAAAAGAAACCTTTTTAAAAAGCACTCTAAATGGATTAGTTGGCTAGACACTAGCTTGGCCAAGGATTTTGTTGTGATGTCACCATAATTATTCCTTAATTAGAATAAAAAGAGATATTTGGATGTGGCCTACAATGTTCAAATCGCAATGAGGCCCATAGGGTTCCGTCCTTGATGTCTGTTTTATCTGTTTAGTGAAAAAATGAGGTATTTTGGAATTCCCTCTGGTGTGGGAGGGTTTGCCTTCTCACTCTGACTGTGGAGTGTATAACATGGCTTCAGCAGGTTGTGTTTGGCTGCATTATTTGCTGATGGTGGTAGTGAGTTACTGACTGTCAACAGGGCTTTGAGTAAATATTAGGCTTTTATTTCACTCTGCAGTCAACCCATATGACTGAACGGTAGGGGAGGACTTACACCCCAGTCTGGGTGGGGTGCTGTGTTGCTGCTTAAACAAATGCTTGAATTTCTTGAAAACTCTACATTTTTTTTCTTCTTTTTTCTTTTTCTTTTTTTTTTTTTTTTTTTGAGACAAGGTTTCTCTCTAGAATTGGCAGTCTTGGAACTTACTCTGTAGACCAGGATGGCCTCAAACTCATGGAGAACCACCTGCCTCTGCCTTCCGAGTGCTGGGATTAAAGGCATGGGCCACCATGCCTGGTGATTGTATACCTTTAGCCAAAGCTGCAGGTGTGTGTGTGTGTGTGTGTGTGTGTGTGTGTGTAGAGGCCAGAGGTCAGCTTTAGGTGTCATTCCTCAGGATGCTGTTGCCTTGTTTTTTGAGATAAGGTCTTGCCAGTTTGGCTAGGCTTGCTGACCTGACCATCTAGCCCCAGAGGTCTGGCTGGCTCCACTTCCCCAGCACTGGATTATAAGCAAGTGCTTCCACACCTTGCTTTTTCATTCGGGTTCTAGTATATCAAACTCTGGTCCTTATGTTTGCACAGCAAATGCTTCCCCCACCGAGCCATGCCCCCTGCAAACCCTAAGTTGCAGGTTTTGAGCTTCATGTTAGTAAAGAAACACAGGGCCCCGAGAGTCCTAAGGAGCACAGCACAGCACAGAACAGAGCAAGCATTGCTGTCTGAGCTGTCTGTCCTTGTGCCTTGCTGGAGAATGAAACAAAACAGTTTTGAGGAACCACAGAAACTGCCCCTGCTCCATAGGGACAGAGCCCAGGGTCTCCCCAGAAATTCCCCAGTCACTCCCTGAGCTGCATCCTTAGACCTCCTTCTGTTTTTTTTTTTTTTTTTTTTTTTTTTTTTTTTGTAGTATG